GCACTGAGGGCAGTGGGCGACTAAATTCGCTCCCGCCACTCAGTCCACTAAGCCGCACACCTCCCCTCCCCTGATAGTGAGGACTGAGAGCAGTGAGCGAACAACTCGCCCTCGCCACTCAGCCCGAGTGGACCGGAGAGACTGAGTTTTGTGCCCAAAAACTGGGCTTATATACGAGAATGTGGGCATAGCCAAGGTAGGAGGTGTATAGATGACCTCAAGGGGCTGTAAAATGTGTCTACCCTGATACATTACACATCACGTATGCATGACTTGAAAAGCCATAAAAGTCCCTCCCTCCTACTTTTTTCAACTTACGCTGGCGTCAAATTCAAACCACCGCCATCCACCGTGGGGCAACCCTACCCGCCATCCGGAAAAAATTTTTTTGCAATCTGTGTGTGAGATGGGCCGAGCCGAGCCGTGTTTTAGTAACTAATAAGTTTTCGTGGCTATATTACTAAAGCTCGGCTCGCTTGTCCGCATGCTATGCACTTGAGTTGGGCTTCGGGATTCGTGGTACTGGGTGTCCTGGTAGGACTGTGGATGTCACATTCAAGGTTGCAGAGTTGCCCCGGCGTCAAGTTTTAGGCTGAACATGAAATAAATAGCAACGCGCACCAGACTAGCAGGTGCAATCATGCGTTTTGTACAATTAACGATTGCCTATTAATGATTTTCACTGCTTTGTACTTTTGTCTATGCAAAAATAATTCAAAAATTGGGAAATTGTTAAAAATTTCACGCACCAGCGCATGAAATCTGAATTCGAAACCTTGAAGCGAATATCTTTCCGTGATTCCCCAGTCAACAGTTTAGCCGCCAAAATTCTCACGAAGCCGTAGGTGATACTCAACAGCGAGAGAACGCTAAATTTGAATAGGCAAAGTTGAGCGTGGGCAAGGAGTTGTTACTCTAAAGTTTCAGATTCCTAGACCCCGTGATTCCCGAGATAACAATTTGCCCGTAAAAACTTTCACTAGCCCGTAGGTGACACACGAGAGCGCGGGAACGCTGAATTTGAATAGGCAAGGTTGAGCGTGGGCAGGGGGTCATTACTGTAAAATTTCAGCCTCATAGACTCCGTAGTTCCTGAGATATTGATTTACCCGTAAAAAACTTTCACGGGGCCGCACGAG